ACTAGCAGATGCCATGAAATGAACTATTATTTATAGTGTTTTTTTCCAATGACACCAGCATCTCATGTTCGACCTCTTTTCCTAGGCTCTTCTCGCTCACCTACGCTACCAACATACCATTTTGCACGAACAATAATAACTTGTCCATCATTCCTATTTAATTTTCTTTTTTGACTCTAATGATCTGAGGTATCTCCCGAAAGGTTCAGTGAAGGCTTCATTGTTGTTATATTAAATTCTTAACAAGTTGTACTACATAGAATTTCAGTTTTGCATTACTTATACTAGTGTGCACCCCGTGCAAAGCACGTCCTCCATTTTTTTTATTTCTGCTACAATAATTCTGTATTTAAAAACAGTTTTTTGCAAGTGCCACAGTAACATTTTTAGGATGCTACAGTATTCTGCCCCAAGTTATAGTAATAATGCTATGTTTAAAACACTACAGCCCCCGCCCCCGCCTGTGCTGCAGTAATAATAGTACGATAATTTATTTGTAGCATGAATAGTGAACCTTGGATCCTCATGTTTGTGCTACGGTAACAATGCCACAGTAATCTGCTGTAGCATTTTACTGTAGTATGAATAGTGAATCTTGGATCCTCCCATTATTATAGAGGAATAGATTGCATATATGCCTCAATATTCAGGTCATACTTTTTTCATTAGATACATAAAACTTAGGCTAAATTCATATCATAGTTGGTTTTTGTGTGTAAGCATGTGTGTGTGTGAGCATTTGCATCTTTCATCCCCATCTTTTCCATTATTTACTTCCTGTCCCCGACAATATCACTTGCTATTGCCACATAACATATGGTGTTAGTACACACTCGAATCTGACATTCCACATTGAGTTTTCGTGCTTTGTGCAAAACAGGGTCCAGAGGGTGAGATATGCAGGACAGCAGTATATTTAAGGGCTGTTTGGTTCGCCAGAAAAGAAAAAAAAAACCTAATTTCCAGGAAAGATTTAGGTGTTTGCAGCTTTCTTTCATGTGTTTGTTTCGCTCATGGTTTTAGGGAAATGGGGCAAGAAAACCCCAGCCACATAATTTTTTCAAGAAACCCATTTCTGAGCCGGCGAAATGCTTGGAAATAGGACGGAAAGAAAATATTATGGCTTAAAAAATAGGGCACTCACCACACAGAACCCCCATTTCCGAGCAAGACCCTTTTCCTGGATTTGGTTTCCTACTTTTATGTTGTGAGACAAACAGCGGATTCAATTGGAACCCCATTTCCGTCCCTTTATGGGTGAACCTAACATGAGTTCCAAGAAACCACAGGAAACTCACAAAAACCTTTTTTTTGGTGCTGAAAACAGATTTCCCACAGTTGTCGGAAACCAACCAAAAAGACCCATAGCCAGGCAGTACTGCGACTGGGCATCAAATTTGCACGACTACAGCAGTAGAAAAGTGATAAATATGTAGTAGTTGGTCAGGAATATGAATCACCAAACACCTTATTGACAGCCACCAGACTGGCTGACAGCACAGCAGGCTGACTTTGCACCAAAATATGCCAATCCAGGACATTTTTCAAAAAAACACAGCTCCTATTTTAGAAAGGAATCTAATAGAAGAAAAGGAAGACTGGTACTGCATATCGTGTTTTTAACTATGATGTTGTTCTATTAAATTTATATTGTATTGTACAATTCATGTCTGATTATGTACTCGTTAATGTTTACAGTTAATTGTTATTGATTTTTTAAGTTGAACGTGGTTTCTAATCAGAGAATAATAAGAGAAATGAAAAACTATGATGCTTGTAGAAGAGTAGCATACACAAGATATTTTTAATGGAGTTCAAACATTAGAAAGGAATTCTTCAGTGTGCCCCAGCAGCACTAGAAGGGATGCTCAAAAACACAATGGAAGTCTATTTCTTCAAAATGAAGATAGGCGCACATACAAGAATAAGAACAAGATAATAGAAACAAGGTAGCAACTAATTTATTTTCACAAATTCATATTGTTTGTATTTCAGTGATTAATTTGTAATGGACTTGGGAACATGATTCCATTGCAATTTCAGCTTATTTTTCAAGCAAAGCCCTGTCCATTTTCTTGTACACCATATCTGTTTCCCTCTATGTGTAGACCCTTGTCTCCCTGGTAATTTAGTCTACAGTCTACCTAATTATCAACTGGCAGTAAAGGCATTCACAGCCAAACCCAATGCAAGACACTTTAGATGATGATTATGTATTCTTTCACATGCATCCCTTCTACTGCAAGTTTTCAATGTGTTAAATGGCAAGCTTATTGATAGAGTTTAACATTCAGAAAATTAAATCTTCTTTTAACTGCCAGGCATTAT